CGCCTTCGGGTCGGGGATAGGTCTCTAACTGTCGTTTATGTCGTTTGTGCCTATGGGCCGAATGGCAGTGTAGAGTACCTGGCCTCCTTGGAGTCTCTGGGAGGGGTGCTGGAAAACGCTCCGACTGGGCACTCCGTCATTCTACTGGGGGACTTCAACGCTCACGTGGGCAACGATAGTGACACAGTTTGTCCATAACGAACACCATGTTCAAGCATAAGGGTGTCCATCAGTGCGCATGGCACCAGGACACCCTAGGCTTGAGGTTGATGATCGACTTTGTGGTTGTTTCATCTGACATCCAGCTGTATGTCTTGGACACTTGGGTGAAGAGAGGGGCGGAACGGCCATCTGATCACCACCAGGTGCTGAGTTGGATCCGATGACTCAGACTCGGCAGACCCAAACGTACTGTGAAGGTCTGTTGGGAACATTTGGTAGAACCCCCTGTCCGGGAGATCTTTAACTCCCACCTCAGGCAGAGCTTCTACCAGATCCAGAAGGAGACTGGAGACATTGAGTCCGAGTGGACCATGTTCTCCACCTCCATTGCCGATGCAGCCGCTTGTAGCTCTGACCGCAAGGTCTCCGGTGCCTGTCGCGGCGGAAATCCCTGAACCCGGTGGTGGACACTGGAAGTAAAGGATGCCGTCAAGCTGAAGAAGGATACCTGGTTGGCTCGTGGGACTCCTGAGGCAGCTGACGGGTACCTGCAAGCCAAGCAGACTGCAGCCCGGGTGGTTGTGAAGGCAAAAACTCGGATCTGGGAGGAGTTCGGTGAGGCCATGCAGAGGGACTATCGGGCGGCCTCGAAGAATTTCTGGCAAGCCATCTGGCACCTCAGGAGGGGGAAGCAGTGCCCTGCCAAAACTGTTTACAGTGGAGGTGGGCAGTTGTTGACCTCGACTGGGGACATGGTCGGACTGTGGAAGGAAAACTTTGAGGATCTCCTCAACCTCGGCGACACGTCTTCCGGTGAGGAGGCAGAGGCTGAGGTTTCAGAGGTGGACTCATCCATTACCCAAGCTGAAGTTACCGAGGTAGTTGAGAAGCTTCTCGGTGGCAAGGCACCGGGGGTGGAGGAGATCCGCCCTGAGTACGTTAAGTCTCTGGACGTTGCGGGGCTGTCTTGGTTGACACGCCTTTGCAACAGCGCCTGGTGGTTGGGGACAGTACCTCTGGACTGACTTGTTTCTAGTGCATGTTGGACTCCAGCAGGGCTGCCCTTTGTCACTGGTTCTGTTCATTATTTTTATGGACAGAATTTTTAGGCACAGCCAGGGGCCAGGGGGAGTCCGGTTTGGGGACCACAGGATCTCGTCTCTGCTTTTTGCAGATGACCATGTCATGTTGGCTCCATCAAACCAGGACCGTCGGTGTGCACTGGGGCAGTTTGCAGCCGAGTGTGAAGCGGCTGGGATGAGAATCAGCACCTCCAAATCCGAGGCCATGGCTCTCAGTCGGAAAAGGGTGGCTTGTTTCCTTCAGGTTGGTGGAGAGTTCCTGCCTCAAGTGGAGGAGTTCAAGTATCTTGGGGTCTTGTTCACAAGTGAGGGAAGGATGGAACAGGAGATTGACAGGCGGATCGGTGCAGCTTCTGCAGTAATGCGGTCGATGTACCGGTCCGTCGTGGTGAAGAAGGAGCTGAGCTGTAAGGCGAAGCTCTCGATTTACTGGTCAATCTAC